CTTCATCACTTCGTTGATGAGCTGATCAGTCTTTTTTGACTAAAATCTCTTTTATCACGATTTGCAAATTGTAGCTTTTGAAAAAACTTGTATATTGCTGCATGTTCGATTGTTCAATTGCATGATTATATAATTGTATGCAATTGTACATGATTGTACGATTTATTTTTATTGATAAATATAATAAAAATAATGTTTAAATTTTGTTTTATCATAAGCACACTTCGAGTTAATAAAGTCTATTTTTTAAGTATATCTTTATAGAAATAATATTGCAAAAATGACTTTTAGTAATGATTTGAAATTACGCATAGTTTATCTTACTCATGATGGTTATAGCAAACAGGAAATTGCAAAACTCCTATACATAAGTAAAGGTTTAGTAAAAAAAATACTTAACATATATAACAAATGGCATTGTATAAAAAATCCATTTAAGGAAGCTTCAGGCCAAAGAAGATTATTTAATTATAATGATATAAAAGTAAATATTATATATTTCTTTACAATAAAAATTGGAGTCTTGCACTCAGATTATTAAAATCCAGTTTTTCAGATTTTAAAAGAGTTAGTTAAAAAAAAGGTAGATTTATATCTCGACAAATTGCAGTATGAAATAAAAATAATAACAGGAAAGTAGGTATCAATTTCAATGATATATCATTATTTAAAATGATGCAGAGTTACTCGAAAAAGGTTTTTTTATTTATTTTATTTTGTTTATATTTAGTTTTTTTTTGTAGTGTTTTAAAATTATTTATTTTATAGTTGCATAAAGCTGCTTTTGAATGAAATGAACTTCTCAGATCTGCATTTATAGCACATTGTGCAATCCATTATAAGCCTGAGCAACTTATATTTCTTGACGAAGTATCAAAAGATGAGCGTACTTGCACTAGGACATATAGATATTCCACTATAAATAATCGGGCATTTAAAAAAACTGTCTTTATCCGAGGTAAACATTATACGATCTTATCTGCATTAACACTAACAGGCATTATTGCTATTGAAATTATTAAAGAAAGTTGCGATAAGCAATGTTTTGAAAATTTTATAATTGGAGAAATTGTAAATATATATAAAATATTAAAAATTTAAGTTTAATGGGCTTGGTGCTAAGAAAAGAGATGAAATTATCTGCATTAATTAGAGTCACATAATTACCAAGATAGTACACAAATCATTTAATCGATATAATTCATTTTTTGTAAAGTTTTTTTTTGTTAATTTCGTCTCCTTTAGCAATACCAGGCCCATATGTAAAGTATTATAAATATTAACATATAAATATTGTTTAAGATTCCACAAATGCGAGCATATCCTGATGCAAATAGTGTTTTAATTTTGGATAATGCTCAAATTCACCACAGCGAACTATTAATCAAAATGGTTAATGCTATTAATGCACAAGTTTTATTTCTTCCGCCATATTTGCCAGACTTCAACCTGACTGAAACGGCCTTTTCATTTATAAAAACCTACCTAAAAAAAAATTGGGAATTTGTAGAAGCAAGTGCAGACCCAATATATCTAATTTTAGCAGCTTGTGCTGAAATATCATCTAATATAGCAAAAAAATTCTTTAAATATTCAATATATTTATAAAGTAAGTAGATGCGCAAAAAAAAAAAAAAAAAAAAAAAGATAATACTTATCTTAGTATTTTTAGTTTTGCAGAGTTTAAAGGGTCTTGTAATTATGAGTAAGGGTCAAAAGGTTTTGTAATCACAAGTAAGGGTCAAAGTAACTAACAATATAATATAGCTATTTGAAATTATAATTTCATTTAAAGTACCTTTCAAAGCTTAGGTATGGTGGGGGAAGGAGTCAAGTCAAACAAGCATTATATAACATATCTGGTTGGGTTTAGTCACATGATTCATTAAATCTCCAAGGCGTAACAAATGTTCTGATTGACTTGTTTAATTTTAGAGGAAGCTCTTGGAAGCAGTGGGGGAGAATATTTAACGAAATTTAGCTTCAAAAAACCTTATATATATTAATATTGATGGTGTTAATTATTAAAGTATAATTAATAATGCAATTTGCATAGTTAATATAGATAGTGTTATTATTGTTTTGGGAGAGCGTATAGAACTATCAGCAGAATTTAGCTTCAATAGTTAACTTATATGTTCTTTGTATAGAACTCAAGGTATTTAATAATAAATAAATGCGATTATAGTAATAACTCAAGTACATGAAGTTATGTAATTAATCCGTGATCGGGCACTTAATTATATCTACCAGTAATCAATTAGGTAAATAAATCAAATTATGTAAGCATAATTAAATAAATCAGTAATATCAATAGTTAATCAATATAACCAATACTAGAGGTCGATACTTATAAGGTAATAAAGTAATAGAGTAATCAGGTAATAAGATACTAACAGAAAAATGTATGATATGATCGTGAAGAGTCTTCACGATTAGAGTAAGGGAAATAATAATAAATATGATGATATAACAATAAATTTATAACAACAACTGAGAAATCAATTCTTAATACTCCTATATTAAAGACAATGAAATCTAAAGCTTTATTTGGAGAGCGAAAAGGCAGCTCTTTTATACTTTCGAGATACAGAAAATAAGGCTTTTACATATCCTTAGGTTTATTTCTATTTGTTGGGCCCGACCAGTACCTTTTGCCAGGCTTATCTTTACTAATTTAACCTTTCGTAGACTCATTACTAAGCTTTTCTATGTTCTAGTTACTCCGCCTTACTCTCTTTCGACCTTTTCTCTAAGCTTTGGCCCATCTCTAGTTATTACGTCTTAATAAACAAGTAAGAATCTTCAGATATAGAATAATTATTTGTACAGATCTAAACCTCTAAGCCTTCACCACCAATAAGCCTCACAATATCCCTGTGGTTATGGCTTAGTCTTAATACAGCGTCATTACTACCTATATTCTATCAAGTCACGGTTTTTCCAAAGAAAAATTGTAACAATAGTTATATATAACGAGAATGAGAAAATAAAAAAGTTACTAGTCTTCTTGCTTTAAGTAGGCGATAAACTCCTACCTTTACATTGAGAGTTCTAACAACAAATGCCTGCTGGTGGCATTTTATTTTATATTCATAATCTTTGTAGAAATTTATTATCATAAATGGCATCACCACTCATGATTGCACATATATATAATTAATAGCATAAATCTTTTGAGCTTATTCTCATTAAGAGTTTTGACTGTCTTGGTAATTGTGTAAGATATATCTTCAATATAATCTATGAGAATCTATTAACATTACCAACAAGCATCATATTAGCCTTTTTGCACTCTTTATAAATAAGAGCAAAATTTATCTGAAGTTTCGCTGCAATTGCTATTGTTACTATTGTTTGGGAGAGCTTATAGAACTATTGGCACAATTTAGCTCCTATAGTTAACTTATATGTTCTTTGTATAGAACTCAAGGTATTTTAATAATAAATAAATGCGATTATAGTAATAACTCAAGCACGTGGGGTTACGTAATTAATTTGTGATCGGGGCACTTAATTATTCTACAGGTAGTCAATCAGGTAAATAAATCAAGTTATGTAAGCGTAAATTAAATAAATCAGTAATATCGATAGTCAATCAATACAACCGATATTAGAGGTCGATACTTATAAGGTAATACGGTAATAGAGTAATTAGATAATAAGGTACTAACAAAATGTATAATACGATCGTGAAGAATCTTCATGGTATAATAAGAGAAATAACAATAAATACAACAATACAATGGTAAATTTATATAACATCAATTCGAGAAATCAATTCTTAATAATCCTATATTAAAGACATGAAATCTCTAGCTTTATTTGAAGAGTGAAAAGACAGCTCTTTTATACTTTCGAGATATATAAAAATAAGGCTTTTACATATTCTTCTTAGCTACTTTGACTAGAACTATACATTCGCTAAACATCTTACCATTTACATATGTCCTTTACTCATTTTCTATTCTACTAACTAAGCTTTTCTTCACTCTAGTTACTCCGCCTTACTTTTTTCCAACCTTTTTCTAAGCTTTGATTCACTCTAGTCATTATGCCTTAATAAACAAGTAAGAATCTTCAGATATAAAAATAAACAAAAATGACGAATTAATAAATATTATGTTTCTTTGTAATCCAAGCCTTAAAATCTACTTAGCCCCATTACAATTTGTATAACTTAAGGCTTATACACATTCTCATTACCACCTGTACATTATTCAGTCATGATTTTACCCAAGAAATCGTGACACTATAGCTCTAAATAATATAAAATAAATTATATAATATTTATAGCATTTAATGCTTTTACTCATATGTGTTAAATTAATAAGAATCATTAAACAACTTATATGATTTTCAGTAACTTTCACAACCCTGCTTTTTTCCTTATCTTTGCCACAACTAACATCGATCATCAAAAGTTGTCTGTAAAGATCGTCAACAAAGATGTCAAAGAAACTTTGAAATTGAGGATCATGAAGGTCTATTGTCATTATGTGGGCTGTACCTGAAAAACTGGTATGCAATTGTTTAACATTAGGAAAATATATTGCTTGTGATAATTCACGGAAATGATATATAATAACCTGCATACATTAGAAAATTAGCAATGAGCATTCCTAAATAAGCAATCCAATGCTTAGACATACGTACGTATTTTAATCTTCGCATCTTCAACCTAGATTTTGATTTTATGCAATTCAGTTTTAAATCCACACCCATTCTAATTTTACGTGCAATACGCATTCGCATACTGTATTCATAATTAAACACAATTGACCTTTATTATCATTCTATTTCCAAATATTACATGTCTAAATAAGTATATGATTATCTTCAACTAACTTCTAGACAGTAACCATAGCCAAATTATGTAACGAGACCATTTGAACCCACGTACAAAGAATATTAAGCAATAGTTTTTTTTTTTTTTTTTTTTATATTACTTCTTTTTTTTTAATTGGTTTTTTTTTTAACTACTGTATTTTAAGCAACACCTATTGGTTATACTCCTTAGAAGCCTCTTGCAATGCAATTTTCCATCCTTCTTTTGTAATTTCTACTAATTCAAATTTTTCATCAGTTAATTTACATATCTGCTTAACTTGAATAGCTTGATCTTGAAAATTTAATAAACATGCTAAAATTTCTCTATTTACATTCTCAGCCTCATCTATCTTTGTCAAAAATTCATCAAGTTGAGAAACAGGTTTAGAAGAAATTGATGATTGCTGTGATATTAAACTATCGTTATTTAGGACGTATATAATGGTAAGGGTTGAAAATTAGGAAAATTTGAATATGGTATAAAATATGGTTGTGAAGGGATATTAGGTAATAGTTGTGGAGGGATATTTGACATTGTATATAAAAGAATATTTGGTAATATTTGTAAGGGAGTATTAGATAAATATGGAATTGGCAGTTGCAATGATTGTAATGGTATTTGTGATGGCATTTGTGATGTTATTTGTGACGGTATTTGTGACGGTATTTGTGACAACATTTGTGATGGCATATGCGAAAGCATATGAGAAGGTACTTGAGAAGGTATATGAGAAGGCATATGCGAGGGCATTTGCAAAGGCGTTTGAAAACTTGATTGTGATTTTTTTTGTGATAAAGAATTAGTTGGTAATTGTGAACAGTTAGATAATGATTAATTTGAATTAGATATTTCTCTTGTTTTAGGTGGTAATGTAAATACTGCATGACTTGGTGGTGTATTAATATCTGCTAATCCATTTAACTATTTAAAATATTTTATAATTTTGATTTAATAATTCTATTATTTAATAAATAGATACAAAAACATAACAAGTTATACATACAATTGCTCGAGCCCATGTTGTATAATGCATACCTGTTAATTTAATATGACCGGCTTTGATAATTCAACAAGAACCTTCACAACTAGCGCAAAAATACTTTTCATGAATTTGAGAAATAGTAGATGCCATAATGCGTTGATCATTATCAAAATGAGATTCTTTGGGTTTTTTACTAAATAATCGTGGCTTTTTTTTATTTAAATCATCATCGCTATTAGGTTCTTCAGATCTCTAAAATAATAAAATAAATAATAAATTAATAAAGTATTAGCAATTTCTATTTGAATATTAGTGTATTAAACATGAATACACTTGACCTATATTGATATCAATTCATTAATATCAATCTAAACAATAAAATAAATTTCTATTTATTAAAATTGTGTGACCCTTATTAATATAATTATCAGCAAGAAGATAAAAGTGATCCAAATGGATTGATATTATTGCAGATCAAGTGTATTTTATATAAAAAATAATACACTATACCGATCTATGTAATCATTTTTTTGCATTGCTTTTTGGAGAATTTCACATTTAAATATTAATAAACACATCTTTTTTTTATCTGTAGCCTGATTATAATCTTCGACAAAACTTCCAAATCACTCTTGTTGACAATTTGAGTTCTCACTCCAGTTTCTTTTGTTATTTTATATGATAATACATAATCATTTTGAGTAATAGTAATATCATTTAGTTGACATTAAATATGTGAAAGAATTTGATAATGGAATTTGCCACAAGAATCTGCTAAAATATTTAATCGTTTGGTGGCAGTGTAATATTATCTTGATTCTTAATACATAGTTTAAGTAAAAATTCTTTGCCATCATACTTATTATTTTCATTATCCAACTCATCTAACTGTCTTCTAAACATTTCATTCTCTAAATCTAATTCTTCGATCTCATTATTTAAAAGGTCTTCTAATTCATCGCATTCTGATGTATCGATATCACAAACAGTATAATCGTCAAGCTTATTAATTTTAGGTATATTGGTAACACGCTTATTTGTATTGGAAGTTATGCAGTTATCAAACTCGTTGGTCTCAGGTATGTTAGTATTATACTTTTTAGTTGTGTGACTATCAATAAGTTGGTCAGCTTCGAATATGTTGGTAATACGATTAGTTTCAAAAGTTGTACGTTCAGTAGCAGTAGCAGTAGAACTTAAAGATTTACTTGATTTTGATTTTGTTGATTTAGTTGACTTTGCTTTTGTTGATTTAGTTTTACCAACGCGATACCATTTACTATTACATGCAGAGCGAAATGAAAATTTGAAATCTTCTGTAAACTCTGTATTATAATTATATTTTTTCTTTGAATCTTTTAGGATCTCAATTTGTTTATCATTAAATTTTGTATTATAATGAATTGTAAAAGCATATGGAACTAATTTTGTACGATTTTGCGTTGTAGATAATATGTTTTTATCGCATTCGCATGAAAATTTTGAAGAATCTTTTTTGCAATACAGACACTTCGCACACTGGTAACAAGTACCTATAAGGTAATCCATAATAATTTATCAAAACAACAAAAAATTATATTTTTTATATAGTTTTCCCTATACATTTACAAATAAATAGTACAATCGTGCACAATTGTGAACAATCACACACAATCACACACAATCACGTACATTCGATTGCAATCGAACAATCAGGGTATGCAGTAATCTACAAAATTGATCAAAGTTACATCAATATGCAAACTGCGATAATATGATTATCACTATAAATTTTACTAAAATAAAATTACATTTTTTGAAATCAATAACTAATTAAATAATATACTATTTTTTTTTTAACTTGAAGCTTTAAACCAGCTTTACACTGTAATAGAGCTATTTTTTTTAATTTTTTTTAAAACAAAGTAAAAAAATACTGATAATCGAAACCAAAAACTTTAATTATTAGTGTTCTATATATTTTTTATAATTATATTAAAAAAAAATAGCTCTATTTCAGTGTAGAGCTAGTCTTGAGGTTCAATTTAAAAAAAAAAATAGTATTCTATTTAGTTAATTATTTATTTCAATAAATGTAATTTTGTTTTAATAAGATTGATATATGTGAATCAATACCCATAAAAAATCCGAAATTAGTGAAGATCATTAGTGACCCTGCCTATGTTTGATTTATTGCGATTTGCAAAATTCTGGATCGTTAGTTTGAGCGATGATCATCACTCCACGATTGTGATTGCGATTGTGAAAAAATAAGCGTTTCTACTGCAACAAAAAGACCTTTGAGATTGAGTTCTGATTAAATATTTTAGAGATTTGTCGGGGCTTAATTTCAAAAGATCGCTTGACGCTCTTAAATATAATATAATTATTTTACTGCGCTACAGTCGATTGTGATTATGGCGCAGTAAATATTTCTATTACAATTAAAAGCATCAGGCTATCTATTAAAAATAAGCCCCGACTAGTCTCTAAAATAATTAGTCAGAATTCAATCTCAAATGTCTTTTTGTTGTAGTAGAAACGCTTATTTTCGTCACAATTGCATCACAATCATGGAGTGATGATCATCGCTCAAACTAACAATGGATCCAGAATTTTGCAAATCGCAATAATAGGCCGTTACACGCCCTAGTGATGCGGTCAAATTGATAGTATAGTCCAAGAATAGTATCACATGACAATATATTTTTAGTAAAGTATAATAGTTGAAAGATGGATTAGAATTACTTTGGATTTAATAAAGCTTCGCTTTTTGTTAATAATAAATTTATTTCACTTCATTTCGCGAATCGAAAAAATTTTAATTGATTTGATTGGTTAATAGTCACGCATGGATCTACATAAATTAGCCAATCACATAAATGTTATAGCCCGTGATTTTTCGTAAAAATACGAGTTATTGCTATGCTGGTGGATTTAAACAAACACATATTTAGTCTCAAGAATTTTTGATTAAATCTCATTGGTCACATGATTAATAAAGTTTTTGCTGCGTTGTGATTGGCTTGTTTAATTTTCGGGGCGAGGCAGTTAAGTGGGGGGATGACGTTAACCTAAAAATTAACTAAAGATGGCCTAATAAAAATAAATGCACATAATATGTTTTTTTGTTAATTACTAAATGTCAATATTATACGACTATATGAAATTGAAATTTAATCACTATTAGTATGTTTATCTTTCCCAATTGTTTATTTGCATTGATATTGCATAGTCAGAATTTCTTATATTGCATAAAAATACATTTTAAATTGCACTGATCTGGATTAGTGATACGGGTCGATGAAAAAATCGTGGACCGGGGTCGATCCTAAAAAAGCTCGGGCCAGTCGACGGGCCGACCTTTTTGCTAGTGTAATTTTTTTTTGATCAAATCAGTCCACATATCTACATTAAACGTACAAAAGGCCATCAAGTAGTTTCTTGTCGAATTCTTGTGATATTAAATGATTTAATTTTTATTCTTTTTGTCCTTGAA